AATCTTGAATCAGTAGTATAAACCGTCTCCTATTTTTCATTCAATATCTTTGATATTGAATATTTACACATAACTAGAAAAAAGTTCCCAGGACTGGTAAGCCCTCCAAATACTACTTAGATTAAGGACATTGAAAATTTTTGACTACATATTGTAGCCTCAAACGGTCATGACATAACCAAATCAGAATCCATACAATATTGGGAGCCTTCAATATCAATATGATAAATCACGGCCTTGCTCTTCTACAGGAGGAAAATATATTTTTTTTATAGTTTTGGTTATGTTTGTACAAATGTATACCAGTATTTATATGATTAACTGAAGTCCTGCTAAGCTTGAAAAAAATTTATCTATCAATGGCCTCTGAATTCCATTAAAAAACTTGTCCATGTCCACCAACTTTTTCCGGGGGTCATGATTTGAACGAACTTGGATATGCACTAAGACGTTTGCATATTACCGTAATGTGACTAATCATAGCACTGTTAATGACATTTTTCTCACTGTATATGTAAACCTTTCATCTTTATTGTTTTCTGTTTGTTGTTTAACGCCCTCTCGAGAATTTTTCACTCATATGGAAACGCCACCACTTGCCGCGGTAGAGAGCTGCAAATTTTGACATATACTCGGGCACTTAGGACCATTGAGCAGTGAGGGATCTTTTTCGTGTCAGCACCTACTGCGACAGGGGACCTCGGTTTATATGGTCTCATTCGAAGGATCGGTCTCCACGTCCCACAATGGGATTCGAACCCGCGACGTAAGGATTAACTCCTTACTCCGTGACTCTTTGATGTGGTTCCACCCTACCTCTTATGGTCATTTGATCAGACCTTCAATCTGTACTATCTGAGGATGCTTGCATATTTATATGACTAATTATGGTTCTGATGTTGAGAAGAAAATAATGTTTTTCAAGTAAAATTCCGACTCACTATTGTGGCCCAACCCTAACCCCATGGTCATGATCTGAACTAATTTGAATACTTCATGAAAAGAAGCTTGAGAATTTTCAAATAACCCCTCCCTATTAAAGCCTTTTTATGACTATCCCCCATTGGAAGGGGAAGGCCCTTTATTTGAACAAACATCCAATGATACATTGAGCATTGTTTGATTTGGACCAGTGATTCTTAAGAGGTGAGATTGTAAAATGTCTACGACGACAACGGCAATGGCGAATAGAATAGATCTAAGATCAAAAAGCTCAAAACAAAAAAAAAATATGATGGGCCAGAAACGCTCACCTGAGTAATCTTGGTCTGCTGTTCTTCATCATCAGATATTTAAAAGTTTCCCATTAAATTTTTGACATCATATTGCGACCAGCCTAGGTCAAAGGGGTCACGTCTTAATTGAACTTGAATCCATAGAACATGGGGGATTTTCACTATAAAATATGGCTAGCAATGTTCTGATGTTCTGGAGAAAAAAAATATTTTAAAAAATCTTTTCCTGTAGATATGCATAACGAAAAATTTGATGCCCGATTTCAGTCCCATCTTATCGTCAGGATCCATAATTTGAAAATTCACACAACTTTGGAATGTTTGCAGATTCATATGATGTGACCCTGCATCTTGGTATTTGTTGAATTTCCTAGATTCTCAAATAAAACTTTGAATCCCTATTTTAGCCCCATCCTTGCAACACGTGGCCATGATTTGAACAAATACAAATATACATTGCAATTTTTGAGTATACAAACTCAAAAATTGGAATTTTTCATTGGAATGCTTGCCTATCATAATGACTACCGGCAATGACTGTTTGATTCTTAAAGATAGGTACATGTAGATCTTTTTCCGATACATTCGAATGTGAAATTTTGATCTACTTTGACTCTACCCTTACACTCTGGGCCACGATTCCAGCTAACTTGAATCTTCACTTTCTAATGTTGCTTGATGTTAATATGACTTATCTTACATGTAAAGTTGTTCTGACAAAAATTTTGTTTGGGATTTTCTCCACTATAGGGGAGGGGGAAGCAGTGAATGAAATAAACTTGCATCTGCATTACCTGAGGATGGTTAAACATATTACTAATCAATGCCCTGTCCTTTTTTTTTTTTTTTTTTAAAGATTTTTCCTATTAATTCCAGTTTTGATCCCTTACTATGGCCTACCCGATTCCCATCTATTCATGATTTGAACAATTTAAAGCTTTTACTAAATATTCATTTTTTCTGGGCCAGAAGTTCTTTGAAAGCTTTTTAATGACGTCATCGTATTTTAGCCTTTTCTTCGTTATCTTACCTTAAATTGGAAAGGATTTTGGCCCTTCAGTTGAACAATATTGAATTCCCTTTGCTCAAAGATACTCTGTGTCAAGTTTGGCTAAAATCGTGCCAGCGTTTCTTAAGATCTGAAGTCGACAATGTATAAAGCTTACAGACAGCAGGATGGATGATAATCAGCTGATCAGAAAATCTCAATTGATCTTACAGCTCAAGTGAGTTAAAAAGGCTATGTAGTGAGAGTCTCAAATTGTGGCACATATGAAGGCATTCATTAAATCTATTCATAAAAGCATTACATGTATGATGACAATCATACAATTCAAGAAAAGGTCCAATTTGGGTAACAACTTTGAGACATTTGAATCACTTTTACTGTCTTCACTATTTATCAAGAGATGCCTTTAAATTTTCTGTATAAACTCCTAAGTCGATAAAACTTGTTTCTGATCCTATTCATTATTTGTCAATAAAATATGTTTAAAACAAATCAAACAATTGCCAAACAAAAAATACTGAAAGATGAAGACAGGATTGACAAATCCTGACCCGATTGTATTAATTCAACTTGTCATAGGCAAAGTTCAGAAAACACTGCTTTTGGATTGCTCTCACCAATATATTTCTGGAGTGAATAACTTGAAACAGTTTCTTCATAATTAAGGCTTAAGGTCATACATGGAAGGTCAACAAAAATAGTACTCAGATTGTTCTGACCTATAAGAATCCATGTATGAAGTTTAAGACATCTTGAACTATTTCTTTGACACGAAGTCAATACATAGACATTAAAAAGTATGGAAAAGGTCAATTAGAAAATTACTCTCAAAGTTTATCCATTTGTCTCTTAAGTTTGATGAAAATATCTTGTTAGAATATTTCTCCGAAATCCAGCGAATACACAGAATTGGAGGGATGGCTAGATGGACAATTGTGTTCAGGAGAAACCAAAATTTTGTACACAAAGGGTTCACAACCAATAACCACTTGTCTTTACTTAATTGATTACTGGCACACTTTACTTATTATCATAATGTAAAGGATCTTTGGATTTTTAGTGATAAGAGTTTTTTTTAATAAGTGTCTGTATTATTGCCCTATATTCACAAAGAACCTATGGGTGTAATACTATACTGACCATGGGTCTCTTAAGCAATTACCCTCACTGCTTTTACACTGGCACATAGCACTCAGTCATTTTACTTTAACAAGATCGTAAATAAATATCCCATATTCAAGTCAAAGTTAATTCTAAATGAGAAGCAGCATTTAATTTTTTAAGCTTTTTAGATGAACATTGTGGCATTGCAATTATGCTACGAAATAAAAGCCAAAGACCATGTTTACCAGGCAAAAAGCAGTGAGATACTAGAACCTTCCCGTCTCTATTACAAGCTTAAGCAGACTCACATTAAGCCATCATCTTGTTCGCATTTATGTGCACTTTACTGAAAATGAAATAAATGTAACTAAATAAAATCTCATCATAAACAATTACATATTTCAGTTTACCATGAGAATATTTACAGGTATGTTAAACATTAATCTGAATGTGTTAATTCTAAACTGGGTGGTCAAACTATGTAGTGAGTTGAGCTCCAGAGATATGTGTGCTGTGAGATTAGAGTCACTGAACCCTACTCCACCTTGTCTTGAGATGTTTCATCTCAAACAAAGTGAAGTATAGATAGATAGAAAATCAAGACTTTTACCCAGAAAAACAGAAATCCAAATTCCTATAAATGTTGCTTTGATATCTACAAGAAAATAAGTGTTTGCATTAGAGAAATCCATTTCTAATAGAGTCAACTACATATTTTAATACAGATAATAACCTAAGGGAAGTACAAAACTAAAATATGAGATCTAAATTACAAAGTCACTTTTTTTTTTATTTCAGCAGCTTCACAATGATGAAAACTGAGTTCAATATCTATTCAACATACTATAAGAATACAGTGACGGATATTTCTTTTTTATTCATAAACTATTAAACAATCAATGAAATATTAAAACACAAACAAAAAATAAAATTTTAACAAGACTGAAATTAAATCATAGATATCCGCCATGTCTGAAATATCAATTAAATTAAATAGACATATATACAGACAAGTTCATAAGCTTTTTAACATGGGAAAAAATTACAATAAAATACAGTTTAGTGTATGTATAAACAAAGTAAGTAACTTGAAGTCATTTAATATTTAAGCACTTTGACGTGTTAACGTGATGTTTCTCTTTTAAATTAAGAGTTTAAAGATGATGAAAGCATGTTGTTTATATTGTATATATTGTACCAGTAATGTTGTTCTTAATATAGTCTAATTCATAAGGGTTCTAATATTGATTCTACTGGAAGGTCTTCAGCTACTAACTTCTAAAGTAAATTGCTCAAAAAATATATTAATAATGTCTATCAGACTGGTCCTTTTCAAGATTTGTGTATAAAACAAAACTAATTGCTGAGAAATTTCAATTGATATCTCTAAAAATGCTAGAAAAGTTATGTTTCCAAAGAAAATATGGACAAAAATCTTAATATGTTTTGGTAATATGCTGATCTTGAAAAAAGGGTATAGATTTAAAGCTATGGATAAAAATTTGACAGCCTGAGGGAAAAACACAGATCAGTTCTATCAATACTAATTATTTGCCTCCATCAATATTTTGTTCAAATTTACCTGAATATATGAACTCTGAGTATTTCATTTTGGCAAGATAACCCACTTTAGTCAGGACTAAAAATCTCTGCATTTCCAAAATTGTTTATTATCTCTATAATAATACTTGTGTTCAAAACAATTCTAATAATACCCCCAATTTCAGGTCTTAATCAAAATCAAATCATTCTTACAAGCATGATTAAGAAATTCACCTGTATCATTTTTTTCATTTTTCTTTTGTTTGGGTGAAAACAAAACTGGGTGAAAATTTTTGATTCTTAGTTGACACTTGTCTTACAAATGTTCAAATCAGAATGCCTCTAATCAACAGAAAATTGAATACAACCATCAAACACATGTATACATTTCAGTTTGGTTTGTTCTTGTACAAAACATTTATCCTGTCACAAAAAAACATACATATATCATAAAATTGTCATATATATAGATCATTCAATACTTTACTTAATAGCACAAAAAAATGGCACCTAGATAGGAAAAAAAATGCAATGAATGAATTTATACAGTTATGGCCCTTATCAAGCTTAAAGGACTTTTTTGATCTTCACTTTTCAAATAACTGGATTTTTTTTCAATACCATTATTTGGCAATAAATATGCATAATTAAATAAATAAAAATAATAATAATAAAGCATGAAATATATTTATATTATTCCTAAACTTTTATTCTTACATTTTTTTGTAGTCAAGAATTTATCTGATACTATTAACAGTCAAATGACTAGACTAATATTTGCACTTCTGAGGTAAACAACAAATCCAAATAGGCAAGTGAAAGTTTCCTCCAGAAAAAAATCATGGAAGTACAAATGTACCATTTGAATATCTAAGAATAAAGGTATTCTACATTATATATATATAAAGTAGAGAGGTTGAAAATAATATATATACTTTGATGATGAGTACAGATGACTATCAGAAATCTGTGGAGTACAGTGGACCACACAGTTAGTTAACTAGAAGAACATGACAGACTGGTTGTCTACTGCCTGTTAGTGGTCTGTGATGATGAAGGGGGGGACACACTCAGCGGAGATCAGAAATGCTGGCCTTGTCGCCAAATACCTGAATTAGCTGTTCCTCATACTCGTCTATGTTCCTTTTCATTATATCCATGCATGGACCTAGTAAACGCTCAAAGGCCTGTACATCCAGTACTGTAATAAGAGATAGACCTCTCAGAAAAGTACTTCTCATACAAATCAGTTTTCAAAACATGCTACAAAATTTGAGTTTTCTTCCTTAGAAAAATGATGTAATGTAAAAAACTTGCTGATAATTAAAGGTCAGCAATTCAAATTTATGACAATTTTATAAAGCATTTTACCTAATAATTTATCAAATTATCAGAGAAAAGTAATAATCTCACCTGCACACTTTGTTTTACCCACAGCATAAGCCGTGGCTGCTCTAGGTTTATGTGTAACAAGGGCCAGCTCTGAAACACAACAGACACACCAATTATTGTAAATTCTTTTAGTAAACACAAAGCAGTCCTCATCTGGTTTAATTAATCTGTATACCTCCAAAGTAGCCTCCCTTTGTGTATCGCTTAACTTCAACTTCTTTACTCTCTGGGTCTCTCTGTTACAAAAATGGAGAAAATTCTTTAACAAATGCACAAGCCTGCCACAAACTTAAAATACATTTAACGTCCTCTAACTGGATAAAAATATAGAAAATTTCCTCAAAATATTTTTAACTTCTAACCACAACCACAATGCTGAAAAAATGTGTTTAAGCAATAATATTGCTGCACTTGTTCCATAAGTTAAAAAAAAAAAATCATACATATGCCCCAGTCCCTGCCATTTTTATAGCAAGCTTTTTAGAATCAAGCTTGATCAGGACTCTGAAAGCTCGAGTGCAAAACTAATCTAAACAAATGCAGTCAAGGTACCTTAAATTGTAAAGCAGTTATTTTATCAAAATAAGATACATCCCTTCAAATCTATCAGACAAGGTGAAGTGCACTACAACATTGCTACCCACAGACATTTTTAAAAACACCTGGGTTTTGACAAAAATGTATGAAAGCATGTTCTGATGAATACTTTCTATTCACAAGTTTTTTCATATTAAAAAAAAAAAAAAAATGACACGATTTTAAAAAAAAAAAAATTATCACCTTATTATTCATCAACATATTTAATAAGAACGATCACAAATTATTGATGATGTGATTTAAATTCCCAAGTTAAAGTCATACTTAATATATTCAGCCAAATATAAGCCTCTATATTAATTCATATCCCTGTCCTATGATAGTGTGATATAAAGGCAATCTGTTAAATCAATGGTCCAAATCATTGCATTTCTTATGTAAACCCTGATACTTGCATTTAAATATAATCACCCCAAGATGATATGAAAATATTTAGCTTAAAAAAATAAAATCAAGTACCATTTCTTGATGTCTAAGACAAATATATCACTCAAAATAAATGAAAATGTTTTTCTAAGTTTTTGATTGTGTGTATTATATGAAACAAGGCAGACAGTCACAATGAAATGTTAGTTCACAACAGTGAAACATCGTGACTGCCACAACAGCAAGTATCAAGTTTATAGGCAAACAACACTGTCTGTGTCTATTGCAATATTCTCACCCCTTCTTCACCCTCATCCTGAAACAACCATAGTCACATATCAACAACTAGTCCTAGTCACATATCAACAACCAGTCATAGTCACATATCATCACATATCAACATTTTGTATATATTTTAATCTGGCGTCTTTATCAAAGAACATTCATTTACTTCTAACCCTACACACTACCAAATCCTGAATAATTCTCTGGTATGATATAATTATTAGTTAATATTCTGGGTAAAAACTGTCATTTCAAAAAATAAATACATTTCCCAACTACCTCAGTTTACATTTTCATTCCATTTTCAGAACAAGTTTAATGCTGTTATCAAACAATACACTGCAAACAGTGTCCTTCCCAAGGTCACAAACATATTTATTCAACATTGTTATTAACATTATGTGACATTTTACCTCATATTCTGACACCAATGACAAAATACACCCAATAAACATGAAAACTCACACTAATTTACCTTGTTTTGTTCTCTGAACTTTAAATAAAAAAGTTATAAAAGGTGTTTTTTTTTAAATGTAGATGAATACTATACAAAATCAAACATGTGACCATTGGTCACCTTATACTGCTCTCTCTAACAAATATGTAGTGACTTGAACAGATCTGACTTTACACACTTTTCAACCAAATTGACTACTGTCAATCACCAAATTTTCACGACACCTTATTTCCCCTAGATGGTCATTTGTTATTTACAAGTGAGACATACATCAAACAAACTTTGTTTTTGTTCTTTATAATGTTTGTTACTACAAATATACATAAGGATTAAATTTTTGCAATCAGGCATTCTTGCATAATTATGCAAAAATAAAGTTCTTGCAATGTAGAACTCTCACTTTTTAAATTCCTATGTCACCATGTACATGTATACACCAATCAAAGGTGAATGAATGAACTGACACACTGCTGTGTATAAATTATGTTTGCAAATCAAAATGATACATTACAGCTTTGATGTAAAATTACAACTTTGATGTAAAACAAATACAACTTTGCTGTAAAATATTAAAAAATATGAGCATATCTTTCCTCCCGTAATCATGGTAACTCCTGACAATTTGGAGCAAGTTTGTATGAAATCATTGCAGGTGATTCTGAAGAAGTTGAAAAGTGTAAAAAGTTTACAAAGGACATAAAATCAAAATAATTTGATAATAAAATAATAAAGCTTGTTTGAGCCTAAGGCTTCTAAAATGTCAATAATAATAAAAAAAAAAACTAGGTAATATTGTGCAAGGCTTTAACAATGCATGGTTTCTGCTGAAAGCTTTAAACAACCTGAGGTTTCCAGTACCAGTACTGCTTTACATGAACGTTAACTGCTTTTTTACTCTATCTTCCACCTACCGCATTTATTTGAAAATTTATAGGTTTTCTGCAAAATCTCCTTTTTGTTCACTTGGGTTGCAATTTTGGAAGCCATTTGGTAATATTTAATTTGAATTTATTATGATTTGAACTGAGAGCATACAAACACTTTTTTAAAAACTGATGTATAGATGGATTTCAAGCATGTGATTGACAACAACAGGTGCACATCTCTGTAATTACATTGGTTATGATAAATTTGGTCAACATCCCCGCCAAGAAAATGGGAAAGATAGTACATGTATTCTAAAGTATGAATGAAAACTTTTGACTTCATTCATAAAAGTAAAAAATTAGTATCAGCATTCATTTTATGATTTAATGCAACTCTACTTTTGTTTTTGATCATCAAGAGAAATACAATCTTGTTAAAAAAAAACAAACTAGTTTTAGATCTGAACTGTGTAATGACATCAATTGCCCTATTTGGCATCTAAATGAACAAGGACAATTATTACTTCAAAACTATACCAACAAAAATCACTTTTCAAAAGGCTAAGAAGCCACTAACTGCTTTTGTGATGAGCATGAAAATTATTTCTTTGCATAATTTATGCAAATGGTGATTTTGTGCACTTCATTGCAGTTGATATTAATTTTAATTATTGGTCATTTTCATCTCAAAATAGAATTGCAAAACTCTGCATGCAATGCTTCCTCTTTTGAGGTCTCAATGTTCCCCCTTTTTCCTAGGTAGACAACTAAAATGTGTGTGACATCAAAGGACGTGAATTCAAGCATTGAAAAAGAAACACAGGGGATAACAGAGTAAGAGAGAAATATAGATATATAGGTACCTGGTTCTTTACTGTAACCCTCACTTCTCCATCCTCAATAAAGTACATACAATCAGCCTCATCACCCTGTAAAAGGAGAGGAAAATCAGTTATGTGTTCCTTAGAAAATCAGAGAGAGAGAGAGAGAGAGAGAGAGAGTTACATATACAGTCATCAGAAAATAAACTCCAGCATATGTAACCAAAGACAGTAGTGAGAGTTATCTTACAGTGTGACTTAGGTTTACAATCATCAGCAACTCAAAGAAATTGTATTGAAAATTTAAAAATTATAAAAATTATAGCTGTATTTGCATAAACAAACATTAAGGATGTTTAGGGATTTGTTTTACCAGATTTATAGTTACATCAACATGTACTTTATATTTACTGTTTGGATAATATTACGTCACCATGCATTTAATGTTTACCTGTTTTATAATTATTTTCTTATGTACTTTATATCCACCTGTTTTATAATTACTTCATCAAGTACTCAATGTTAACCTGGAAGTGTTTTATAATTACTTCACCAAGTACTCAATGTTTACCTGTTTTATAATTACTTCACCAAGTACTCAATGTTACCTGTTTTATCATTACTTCATCAAGCACTTAATGTTTACCTGTTTTATAATTACTTCACCAAGTACTCAATGTTTACCTGTTTTATAATTACTTCACCTGTTACTCAATGTTTACCTATTTTATAATGACTTTACATTGACTTTATGTTTACCTGTTTTATAATTACTTGACCATCTTCAAATGTCTTGGTGACCAAGGCATCAGCCACATTCATCTTTTCATATGGCTGAAATCAGAAAAAAAAACTTGTTACAGTTAATGATTTTCTTACAAACACAGACTTGGTGACATACTTAAATGATTTTGCTCTTTTTTATCTTATAAAACAAAGTCTCTTGACATTAAAGGTGTCCTTGAAATTGTCATTTAAGATGCACACGGAAGTGATCTTTGGTAATTAATTCAAGAGAAAAATAATTCAAAGGTCAGAGTAAATGGAAGTTATGCAATAACAACTTTCCTCTCTGCTTTCATAAGTTTCCTCATGCTATAAAAAAAAAACAGGATTGCTCACATAAACTTGGGAAGGGGGATCGATTCAATGATTTCCTTCATAGATTTGAATCGCGCAGCTTCTAGCTCAAATAAACAAAATAATTAAAACCTGGTCACATGAAAGAATTCTTAATTTATCTAACCATAATGCTTGAATTTCACATTGCCCTATTTGTCTTTATAATCCTAACCCATTCACCCTCAAATTTACACATTTTTTTAATATCTTTTTTTCTCTTAGCTGTTGTCAGCAAATACACTTACATCTAGTGTTTTTAACATTGGAACATTGTCTATTAAGTTCTCATACATCTTCCTCTTGTTGTACGCATTCTTGAGAACAATTCTTCTAAACGTTTCTCTGTCCTAAAGAGTAAACAAATAGTTCATGAAAGTATAATAGAGATGAAAAGTCAAATGTACTGCAAGTATTTCGTGATATAGCCTTAAATGATAATTTTAACCAATAAATTATCCACCATGTCTTTTCTAAGCTTTACTTGTGGCACATTATCATTCATGGTTTCAAGGTCACGTTATATATGAAATTCAATATTGGTTATCATTATAAGAAAAAAGAGGAATACATGTATACTGTAGAAGTGGGTGTTCGTGATAGGGGTTAAGAATGTATATTTGAGTGATAAAAATTACCCATGAGTTCAATATGCAGTCATGTATTTTATGGTAATGTCTCAAAACCTTAAAATATTTTTTTTTACAATATAAACAGGGCAAGTTAAGTGGCTTTAAGATTGCTGAATAACAAGTGTAGATTTTCACCACATGTATCTAACCACTTGTACAGTAGCACATATATACATATGTATGTATTAGAACGATGAATCAACTGGATATATATCTAATTATAGAAACATAACAAAGCAATTTCATTTGTCCCTGCCTATTAACTAATGTAAGCACAGTAGTTCAAAATGTAGATAATACAATGTACAATATTTCATGGTATATATGTGAGAAACAATCTTAGTTCACGCAAGATATTTAATTCACTTCCTCTAACTATGTCCAAAGTGTGTATTACTGAACGATGTGAATATCTACTACACTACATTCCCTAACCAATAATGAATTATGACAGCCCCTATGTTCCTTACTGTGGCTTACAAGAATCCCTTCTGGAGTAAAAATCTTACCATAGCCCATAGTCTGCCCTCTGTTGTAGCTACAATAGTTGCTGCCCTTGGTTGATTATACATCAGTGCCAACTCCCCAAAACTACCTTTATTTTCATACTTTCCAACAGTTTTCCCATTCACTATGATATCAAACAGTCCACTGAAAAATATAAGTATTAAAAAAATCAAAATATCTACTTTCTATTTGCCAATAAATTAAATTCTTTCCAAATTAAGTAATGTATGTGATGAATCAATGTATAAATTCACTGATCATCTTAATTTTTCCAATTTCTAAAGTTGTAAATTTTAAATAAATATACTTCCCTTTTAATCAGTTACATGGATTATCAGAGCATATTGAAAGCTTAACTGACTTCTGGCATAAAAATCAAGTTGATCAAATATCAGCTTTAGATTGAAATTTCAAGAGGCCCATGAGCCACAAATCTCACCTAGTAACTATGGCCCTTCTGTTCTTCATCATCAGATTTTTTTCCTTACGTGAAACTTTGATCACATATTATGGCCCCATCCTACCCCAGGGGGTCATGATTAGAACAAACTTCAATCTACACTACCTGAGGATGCTTCCATGTAAATATGACCAATCTTGGCTTTGCTGTTCTTGAAAAGACTTTTTCCCATGTATTCCTATGTAAAACTTTGATTGTCCATTGTGGCCCAATCCTAATCTCAGGGGTCATGATTTGAACAAAATTGATTTTTATTATATATTCCTATGTATAACTTTGATCCCGTTTGGCCCTGCCCTACACCCTGGGGGGAGGGGGGCATGATTTGGATAAAGTTGAATCTACACTACCAGAGGATGCTTCTTTATAAATATAACTAATTATGGCTTAAAGGAGATTTTTAAAAGTGTTTCCTATATATACCCATGTAAAACTTTGATCACCTTTTGTGGCCCTACCCTATCCAAGGCAGTCATGATCTGAAGAAACCTGCATCTACAGTATGTATTGAAGCCTTCTTATCTGGCCAAGTGGTTCTTGAGAAGAGGATTTCTTAAACAATATCACCAAATTCTCACGAATTCTTAATTATCTCCCCTTAAAAGAAGGCATGGCACTTCCATAAACTGAAGTCCCCTTTACCCAAGAATGCTTTGTGGAAAGTTTGGTTGAATTGGCCCAGTGGTTGCAGGGAGAAGTCAAAAGTTAGAAAGATTTACAGCCAACACACAGCCAGGCAGATGCTGGACACTTTTTGATCAGAAAAACTCACTTGTGCCTTCTGCTCAGGTGAGCTAAAAACAGTTTTAAAGATATGCATTCAAATATTTCATTCTTGAAAGCACATTATTACAATATGATACTTAAATTTAAAAGAAAGAAAAGCATTTTAATGCACAATAAACATTAAAAAAAAACAACAACAACATTGACTATAAGCACGCATGCCTACAATTAGGTTTGCCATTGATGAAAATTTTGGGATCAATATATATATTAACGAAAAATACTGACTTATAATTAGAATATCACATTTCATAATAGACCAATTTTCTATGGATTTTCATGGTTTCCTTTTCATGTCATCAGATGTTGATATATGGTCTTAATATCTTTCAGGATGAGACAATTAAGTCTCAACAAAGCTGTAAATTTCAGCAATCAAGAAAAAACGAACCTCATGAAATAAAATGATTCAACAATATTGATGTATTGCTCTATGCCCCTGTTGGGGTGATGAGGAACTATGTAAAAGTAATTGATATATTGAATGATTTAGATCACATCTGTTCAATTCAAACAAAATATTACCAGACAATGTGTGAAATTGTATTTTGTGCAGAAAGAAGATTCAACCAACCAAATAAACTTGATTCTACTATGCACAATGATGATTCCATATGAATTTGACAATTTGGAGCAGTTTAACGTTTTTGACAAAAGAGATTTTTAAAGACTTCTGTGGCTATTTCAATTTTACAACCTTTACATTTTGTAACCCAATCACTGCCCTAGGGGCCAGGGGATGTGTAATCTATTTTAACTAAGAAGACTGACATACTAGTTTAACAAATTGAAGCTGCAGTTCTCGGGGTATTGTATTTGGAGAAGAAGACAAAATGTGACAAGATTGTATGCTGGATGATTGTCAAAAACTCGACAAAGTAAACTAATCTATATTATTGTCTAGGTGTATAATAGCCACCTTGATTTCTGTTCAAGAGAAATAAACTATCCAAATTAATTCTTGTGTCAGTCAAGATTATCATTTCAAAAGTTAGCTTAATTTAAATGGTCGATCTCTACCTCTTTGCAAACAAATATTATGCAGATAAAAATCACCCCAAATGCCTGACTTATCTAAATCCCCTCAATGCTAAAGAACTTAGTTTAAAACTGTATTTTGTTTTGTTGTAATTTAAAATAGTTATGTGAATAACCTCAATGAAAATTCACCTGGAATAAGCTTCTTACATAGAAGGGATAGAGTACAGAAATCTCTAACTGTTACCAACCAAGTTTTATGGCCTGATCTGCAGTTTTAATCAGCATTTTATGGGCCATTCAGAAATATAATTTGCATGAATATCTGCTTGAGCTCAAGAGCTTTACCCTGTTTATATTCCCCATCAATACATTGATCATAATTTGATGCAAAGTGAAATATTCCATGTAATACTATTATCCATCTCATTACTTTTTTTCAGAATTGCATATTGATGCCTGAATGCTTACCATAAACATCCTTATTTATTCAAACTGTCAAAGAATCTACAATATCTTTGGCCCAATGTAAAAAAAATTTACACATGTATGATCTAGTGTTCCTCTGTAAACATTTAATTCTGGATCAACCTCTTAAAAAATACACTCGGCCCTGACCACTAAGTCTCAACACCATCTGTTTCTGGGAGTTCTGTGTGATATTACAATAACTCACCTTTCTATGACATAGAAGTTGTCTCCATCATCTCCTTGGTCAATGACGTGGTCTCCCTCCACAACCTACAAATCACACAATATTGTATGTTAATCTACAAATCACACAATACTGTATGTTCATCAGAGATTTAGAAAAACCTATAACATTACAGAAGTTTTCTACTGAGCGTTCCTTCACAAAATAAGAAAATGTATTTCCTAGAACTCTTGTTTATGGTATTCCCAATTTCAATATTTCATAATGAAATCCAAATGGCCTGATTAATCAATAGTAAGAAATATTAAACTTTTTTTGTTAACATGTTTGATATCTTATAAGGACAGATAAAAAAAACAAAACTAAATGATAGTTTTATGACATCCACAATTTACATTTACCTATTGACAATCAAATTACTATTTCCATAAAGAACAATTAAGAGCTAAAAACTTAGATCAATTTAAAGGAAGTAAAAAGCTCATTCCTTATCATCTTTTTCCAACTGTATTTACACAAAGATACAAAATCTTGGTTGATCAGGAATAGGTTCTGATTATGGAACATACTGGAATGTTTCTTCACTTTGGAGTACCTTCACACATCCATCTTGTTTTGAATCTAAGCAGGGCAAACTTGTAGAAAAATCTCTGATCAAAAGAAGTTAGATCTCTTCTCTGACCAACCAATGCTAGAAAGTCATTCTCCAGTCTGACATACCAGTGATTATTTCCTACTCTGAATAAATTATTACAATTCTCTGGCCAGTCTTAAATTCAGTCCCAACAAGAACATATTTTAAAACTTTTTTCAAAATATAAACATTAAAACAAAAATCACTAATAAAAAATTTCATTAGCACTACACTTATTCATCATGTTGATAAAGCATACTTTGAGAAAATCCCTGTCCAGGCCCTGTAGAAGATGAATGGTTGTTCTGTTTGTACACTTGGACAGGTGTAATGGTATGCCCTTCACTTGACCAGGTAAACCTGACCATTTATCTTCATTACACACATCAAAACAAAGGACTCAAAATTCCATCTGGTCTACAGGCCAACCACAGTATGTAATCATTAATAAGTCTTTAAATCTTATCTATTTTTCATATAGAGTTCTATTTTAAGTTCATTTTGCTGAGACATTGTCACCTACCTATACTCATTCACACACAGAAGGTTAGCTAGCTCTTTTACAATATTGCAACCCATTCTCAAGGTCATTGAAACTGTGTATACAGGCAAATGAAATAGTAGTTGACCAATAGGTGTTGACTGAACTTGAAATTATAACAATATTTTCCATCAAACGTCTCTGAATAGTAAATAAAAGATTTACCTTGGGATGCTAAAATTTCTAATGAATAGAATTTCACATCTAAATACATAGGAAAAATAATGTCTGTTCATTGTTTAAATTTTGAGATCTGAAAAATTCAATATAAAAAAAGAATGTAAATTTTGTTATTTCAGGGCTCTTAATTGTCTATAATTGGGGCTAGTAAAAGGACCCCTTCCCAATTCCAAAATGTACCTTTTTCCCAATGTGTTAACTTTCCCAATAGCCATTTCCAACTAAAATTAAGGAACATATATACCCGGTAGTTTGATATACTGGGTTGTCCTAAGACCCGGTGGACAGGGAATTTCCCCACCTGTAAATGACCAATTCCCCCGTTATTCTGGTATTCCCCCTCAAACTTTTGTTAGGGGAGGAACCCTTGACCCCCTTCTACTTTTTCAATGTCCCCTGCTATTTCAATTCTTAGGGACAACCCTGTATCATATATATATATATATATATATATATATATATATATATATATATATATATATATATATATATATATATATATATATAATATAAATAAAATTAAACTTGCCCTTCATACACCTCTGTATTGCAAAACAGAAAATTAATTGTTAACGAACACTAGAAACCCAATATCTAATGATTTTCAGGTATTTTTATGATTTTTCTAAAATTGATAATTTTCAATCAGTTTGCTATACCTGTAAATTTGTTTCATCAGAGCTTAAAATTTCACAAAGAATTATTGAGAATTTTGCTGGGGAGCCCAAAAACTTTGCTATATATATCTGTAATTAGCCATGTCTGTGTTCATACTAAGGTGAGTATATAAAATATGTGTTCTTTTTTCAATATTACTGTCATATCTGATTGAATAAAGATAACTGTTTTGATCCCCAGAAATATAGAAATTTTATATAACATTGATAACTAAAGGTAGATAATTTAAACATCAGAAATAATGAGCCAATAAACAAAGAACTTATCATCAAGAAGCATCTAGTATTTTGATAACTCCAGGAAAAAAGCCCAGTGAATGAAACCTTTTTCTTCCATTCCACTCCATCCTAATGAGCTTCTAAAGACCCCTGCCTATTGATTCTGGTTCTGTCCACAGCTTTCAGATAACAGAGAGAAAAGTGGCAAAAAACTGTGTCTAATCATCACAGTAATGCTTCTAAATGATGGATAATCATACTGGAAATCAAGCAGGGGTGGTAGTATAGCCATGTTTTAAGTAGGCACCAAAGCTAGCTCCTATAACCTCCAGTCATATTTTGAAAAAAAAGCATACACTAAACTGTTTGATAGCAATAGTTAACTCTGTTATCACATCATTAAAAGATTTTCCACCATCAATTTCTGACATTTCACAAAACAGGCTAATCTAGCTAGTACAGCATGAATCACTCAAGTAATTATCAATATGTAATAATAGTAATGATCTTCATTTGAGCCGATCCAATCATAAAATACACAAACTCTTTTGTCAGGGACATAGCTACCCCCCCCCCCCCCCCCCCAAATAGTTTTTTTTTTTTAAAAAACCCAAACATTTTATGTCTTTTTTTTCACAGAGATTTTCTTTTAAGCCATTCTTGCATTATCAGTCCACTGAAATTCAAAAGCACTGAAATCTCCCAAATTGATCACATACATTTACAGGACATTGATGCATTTCATGTATTTATGATTGATTTATATTGTTTTGCAATCCAAAAAATATGCAGAACGTACATGCAGTTAAATAGATTATTGTAATATTGTTCATTTTTTTTACAGTATACTACTTCTTAAGGACATACATGTTGCTGGATCACCTTTGAACCGTTATCTACACTTTATGCCTCTATTTTATTATTAGACACTAAAGCTGCCCGAACTGTTCTTACTATACATAAATGTATATACTTACCTTTTTCTCAAACATGGCATCCAAAACCTCTTGCATCTGTTCCTGAAATTTAAAAAAAAAAGATGAGAGTACCTGTTCCTATGAAAGAAAGCTTGCAGATTTTGACAATCAAATAATATTTTCAGAAAGAAAAAAAAAAGACATTTATACATTCACCGTGTTGATCTATTGTAAACATGGTTATTAATAACATAGAAATTGATGCTTATAACAGTTATTGTGGTCATAATGAATATAATTTCTGTATACTAGAAGCCAGCCTCATACTAAAACAATGTCCCAGTCATTTACAAAGTATCAAAGTAAAAGTCAACTCAGAATGTTCTAGTAAAAGTACCTCATATTTCACTGTATGACAGTGAAAATACTAACAGAGCTTGATGCAGTAACTATTTACAGACCTATATAATTTCTGATGCAGACAGGAAGACATAACCGACACTGGATCTGAAGGCAGGTTTACTTTACTATTCTACCAATTATATTCCTACACTTAAACTGTTGTTTTGTCCTTTTATTGCTGTTTAAGTTAAGAAGTAAGACACCTTGACATTTTATCATAGACATCTCTTATACATCTATGATTTTATGTAGCCTAGTGAAGCAAGCATGAAAAGGAAAATAATAAAAATCAACCTGAAACAATTCAGAAGGGTGAAAAAAAGTGCACATGGGTAAAGTACATAGACCAAGTCCAGTTTGCAGTAACCAATACAGAAAGTGGATGACAAAATTGTACTATAGTGAAACCCTGTCATCTCAAACTCAAATGAGACAAAAATTCAATTTCAAGATATCCAAAGTTTCAAGATACAAACTTGTGTAAAAAAAACATTAAGAAAATAGAAAATGTGGTTGGGACTGCCAACTCTGACACATTCTTCGTGTTCCGGTAATTGGTGTTCCAGATAACAAAGTTCAACTGTATTATGTGACTTTGTAACACCTTAACCTTTGACATATAACTTTGGCATTCTTAAACATATGAACAAAGTCCAGTCTACCGATACCAAACAGAAAGTGTATGAGGAAATTGTCCTCCACCTTTTACACTTTCACATTGTAAATGTAAAATCTGTCATGTAACTTTATCATACCTTAAATTCTGACAAGCAACTTGGTCAGAGTTTAACATCTGACAAAGTTCGAGCAAAGATACCCAAATAGAAAGTGGATAAAAACATTTCCACCAGACTGTGTGGTATCTTACTCTGTCCAAGGTTAACATCTGACATGCAACTTTGTCACTGTCAACTTCTGACATGTAACTTTGTCATACTTAACTTCTGACATGTAACTTTGTCACTGTCAACTTCTGACATGTAACTTTGTCATAGTTAACTTCTGACATGTAACTTTGTCGGTAAACTTCTGACATATAACTTTGTCACAGTCAACTTCTGACATGTAACTTTGTCACTGTAATCCTCTGACATGTAACTTTGTTATTGTCAACTTCTGATATGTAACTTTGTCAACCTCTAAATGTATCTTTGTCACAATCTACATTTGATACGTAATTTAATTTGTCACACTCAACCTCTGACATGAAACTTTGTCACACTCAACCTGACATGTAACTTTGTCACACTCAACCTCCGACATGTAACTTTGTCACATTTAACCTGACACAAAACTTTGTCAACCTCTGACATGTAACTTTGTGACACTAAACCTCTGATAAATAACTTTGTCAACCTCTGACATGTAACTTTGTGACTTAACTTCTGGCATGTAACTTTGTGACTTAACCTCTGACATGTAACTTTGTGACACTAAATCTTTGACACATATCTTTGTCAACCTCTGACATGTATCTTTGTGACTCAACCTCTGACATGAAACTTTGTCATATCTAACCTCTGACGCATAACTTTGTCAACCTCTGACATGTTACTTTGTGACTAAACCTCTGACATGTAACTTTGTCACATTTAACCTGACACAAAACTTTGTCAACCTCTAACATGTAACTTTGTGACACTAAACCTCTGACACTAAACTTTGTCACCCTCTGACATGTAACTTTGTGACTAAACCTCTGGCATGTAACTTTGTCACATTTAACCTGACACAAAACTTTGTCAACCTCTGACATGTAACTTTGTGACACTAAACCTCTGACAAATAACTTTGTCAACCTCTGACATGTAACTTTGTGACTTAACTTCTGGCATGTAACTTTGTGACTTAACCTCTGACATGTAACTTTGTGACACTAAATCTTTGACACATATCTTTGTCAACCTCTGACATGTATCTTTGTGACTCAACCTCTGACATGAAACTTTGTCATATCTAACCTCTGACACATAACTTTGTCAACCTCTGACATGTTACTTTGTGACTAAACCTCTGACATGTAACTTTGTCACATTTAACCTGACACAAAACTTTGTCAACCTCTGACATGTAACTTTGTGATACTAAACCTCTGACACATAACTTTGTCAACCTCTGACATGTAACTTTGTGACTAAACCTCTGGCATGTAACTTTTTGACTTAACCTCTGACATGTAACTTTGTGACACTAAATCTCTGACACATATCTTTCTCAACCTCTGACATGTATCTTTGTGACTCAACCTCTGACATGCAACTTTGTCATATCTAACCTCTGACATGTAACTTTGTCAACCTCTGACATGTTGCTTTGTGACTCAACCTCTGACATGTAACTCTTTGATTCAACCTCTGACAAGTTACTTTGTCAAACTTAACCTCTGACACGTAACTTTGTCAACCTCTGACATGTAACTTTCACATGCAACTAAACATTAACATTCTACCTAGTACAAAGTGACCAAGTTTAGTCTAGTCTGCAGTTATCAAATATAGAGAGTGGATGAGAAAATTTCAACCTAACCCTCCAACATGCAATGTTTTACACTGTAACCTTTCACAAGATACAGGGTGATCAATAAACAAGACCACTGACAATTCCCAACATAGAAAGTGGATGAAAAAAATCCCACCCTACTCTCTGATGTGTAACTTCTCACTTTTAATTAATCAAATATATCTCTGACATGTAAAGTTCTGTAATATGCCACCCTCTGATAACTTTTAAAACAGTTACTCATTTATTGACTACAAAGTCAGCCATATTTGGAGCAAATAACTCACAAAACACTTATTACTTTAAAAACATGACTAAAAATGGCATAATGGTTTCTGGTAGCTGCATTAATATCTACTTACTCCATAATCAGTTTAACTCTGCTAATCATAGTAATAGTACAATGATATTAAATGTTAAAACAATTAAAAACCAAGAATAGCTTATAGATGTCTTTTGCGTATTTGTGTATTACTAGGAATCTTGTGGCCTTTAATTGATCAACAATACCCAAGGATCATTAAACATCAGATTAAGACAGCTCTGCTGACACAGTAGAGGAGAACTGTGACATTGCAGGTCTCTTGATTACAAAATGGGAGTTGCTGTGACGGGGAATGACTCCCAGGGGGTCCATCAAGCCTGGAAACCTGACATTTCTCAGAACTAAATCACATGTTCTGATTGTACTTCAAAGACAGATCAGATGAACAATGCATTGCCAAGTCATAGATTCTAGTCAATTACTTTACCTAACCATCTCATTAACGGATTATTTAGAGCAGTCACTGGCTGCCCATTTTCACAGTTTGAATATGCATTTGGCTAGCCAAGTGTAAAACGTAATGTAAATATACTGTATACATGTCTGATTTGAAACGTTTTGCTAATTGTCTATCACATGACCCAGAAGTGTACCGAGTAAAGCCACACATCTGCATACACAATACATTGTCACTTTTACTAAAATGTTAAATTATTCAGCCTTTGATATTGGACAGGGCTTATTCTGTTTTCTGGAGTCAAAGGAGTTTTTTTTTAGATGAATGGAAAGATACATAAAATAGCTGTAATTTGTTGTCTATAATTAAATCTGTATTTGAAGTTATTTGAAGAACCTTTAGTTAATACCTGTATTTGTCAAAATAAGTTATCCTTCACCTAACAGTATATTTTACATCAGCACTGATTTTCCTTCAAGATAACTTTGTAATAATTTTAAAGTTCATCTTCTAATGAATATTTTTATGCCCCCATCATGGAAGATTCGGGGGTATATAGTTTTTGCCCTGTCCGTCTGTCTGTCTGTTTATCTGTTTGTCCGCAAAAACTTTATCATTACCCATAACTTTTAATTGCTTGGAGCTATGACTTTCATATATCACATGTATTTCTTGTAACAAGACCTTTCTTTGGGTACCATCATATTTGACCTTTTGACCTTGAGTTTGACTCAGTTTTGCAAAACTTAAACCAACTTTAACCTTGGCCATAACTTTTGAACAATTGGTGCTAGGGCTTTCATACTTCACATGTGTAATTCTTGTGACAAGACCTTCCTTTGAATGCCAACAACTTTGACCCTTTGACCTTGACCTAGGAGTTTGACCTACTTTTGAAAAACTTTAACCTTGGCCATAACCTTTAAACGGTTGGTGCTAGGGCTTTCAAATTTCACATGTGTATTTCTTGTGAAAAGTCCTTTCCTTGGACACCATTAATTTTGACCATTTGACCTTGATGTTTGACTTACTTTTGAAAAACTTTAACAATTTCCATATCTATTCAATGGTTGCTGATAGGGCTTTTATATTTTACAGGTATATTTCTCGAGACAAGACCTTACTTTGGGTACCAACATACTTGATTTGCATTTGAAAAAGTTTAACCTTCAATGTAAGTTGCCATATAGGGGCATCAGTGTTTCACAAATACATCTTGTTTTTTTTTTTTTTTAAATTTTTACATAATTTTATTCACAAAAAGTGAATGGGATTGGACAGCAGGCCTATTTTAGCCCTCTCCCTAATGAATTCCTACCGGTAATTCTAATGAATATTGTCCAAAGCAGGAATAAGATTTTCTATTAAATACACTTGTGACATCAAAGAGGAAAGGTGTCATGATGACAGTTGTTCATTTCAAACACAACATTCAAGGCAAACTTTAAGACATAAACCTTCAACAGACTTTACACTTATGTGCATTTGAATGAAAAAAATGTAATTGGGTTTATTTGTGGTGTTATTTTTTCCAGATAGAGCCTCATGACTCTGTCTCTCTGAAGAACCAGTTCTAACTGCATCCTAGAACTTTCAAACATAGCAAGCAACAATCTGGCTGAGTGAAATTTGATGTTCAAATGTCAAACAAAGAACCTAAATTTGATACAATTATACATATTTTGATATGCTTTAAGTGTTAAACTAGAAGTCCAAAGATTTACATATATTATAACCATATTAGACCAAGTCAAACTAGAACTGTCCAAAAGGGACAAATACCCCCCGCTGGGTTTTTCAAAGATGCCAAATCACTAATATTTTATGGATCTAAGAGGTGTTTTCTTATTAACATATAGAGTGAAAAAATAATTGCTCATTATATTTTTTTAATGAATGAAACCAAGGAACAACCTAATAAAACATCAATACCAATACGTTGTAGTTACATTGCTTTTTAATACATTGAAAAAATAAATTGCAACTATCTGTCATCTTTTTGAGACATGACATTCTGCATTGATTGCTGAAAAAAAAAATCAATGAATTACAAAATCAAATTAATCTTGATAACTTTATATCAAATTCATTTTAAATTGAAAGGCTGGTCATCCAGTAACTATGTCAGACAATAAATTACAATTAAGAGAATTAAAGAACAGAGATCTTTAAATTCCCAGGAGATATAGATAACACATGCTTGATCAGAGATGCCCCAACAACTTCCCACACTGAACTCATTAATTTATCTCTAACTGGATGATGTCCACTCATTAGTCCCAAGGGACAAATGGATTTACACTATCTGCTGTGTAATGTAAGAATTGTTTTTAATACTTGGTGATTTTTTTTTTGTTTTAATGAATAGTTTTAAGCTGTAGTTCACATTTTTGTACAGATGTTCTAGATTCTGTGTCTCAAACCTTAGAAATAAACCCAAAATGACTAAGTCAATAAAAATGAAAAAAAAAAAAACCTGTAAAATGCAGAAAAATTATCAAATAATGTTGAAAATACCAGGTGCACATCTTCATATGGTAAATAATGAGTGTACAAATTTTCATACAATTCTATGAAATAGTCTTTGAGTAAAGGTCAGGACAAAATCACATAATAAAAATGAAAAAAACACCTGTAAAATGCAGAAAAATTATTCAATCATGATGAAAATACCAGGTGCACACCTTCATATGGTGAATAATAAGTGTACAAATTTTCAGACAAATCTATGCAATAGTTTCCGAGAAACGCTCAGGACAAAATCTTGTCTACAGACAGACGGACAGACGGACAGACAGACGGACAGACAGACGGACATGGTGATTCCAATATACCCCCCCTAAACTTCGTTTGCGGGGGGTATAACAAATGCCCAGCTCTGCATATCATGATCTGGTAATCAAGAAGAGAGACATGTGAATTGTAGGATAAAACAGCAAAAGATCTTGAAGGATCACAACAGTCTGTCTCATAAGGGACCTGGATAGATGGGGATCTTACTGTGTTTAATGTGGCAAATCTTAACTGCTTCCTTCTATACAAGCAAGACAACTACGAAAACTCAAGCTTGCAGAAAATACTGCAAAAAAGGAGCCCGCCAATTGCAGATTTCCAATGCAAGATAGGGATGTTTACTGCATAAAGTTCTGACAATGAGGAGTCATTGCACAGGATCAAACCACAGCCATTAATTTAAAATCACACATTTTAGCTTCCGTCTATTTAATGCATGCACTAATTGCAAAATGTAGTCACATGTAAATCAGGTAAATACAAATTAAAAAAAACCAAACAAAAACAAAAAAACTAGCATTTATGCAAAGAGCAGAACAATTAATCTTTACTGTGACACAATTGGTCTTTTGCAAGAGAAAAATGACAATACCAAGAAATAAAAGCATTGGAGATTTAACAAGATAATTTTCCAGTGTTGGACTTACCGGCTCCAGTGATCGGAACAGGAGGATATGACTAACTGCTTCAGCCAATCTCTGTCTTTGTTCATCTGACTTAGGGTGGACAATCTATAACCATACAAAACAAACATAAGAGACAGCAAGTTACAAATGTAGTAACTAATAACGGATATGAAGAAATTAAAGCATTTGTGAAATATAATGTCCTAGCTGTGGCAAAGGACTATATTCAGTAATGACCAATATTTGCCCTCTAAACTAAACTTTGACGGAGAAATCTATGATTACGTTCTAAACCAAGGTGATATCTGCATACTTCAAAGTATTAAATACTTTCATAAGTTATGAGGCCATATGTTAGATATGACGTCAGGAAAGTGATGCAAATTCAAATTTTTATGATTTATAGAGAAAAAGATGTACATCATGTCAATATTTTGAGTAAAAGTCACTGAGCGAGGGTCTGCTCCAACTCAATGTTTTGATATAATGTGTAGAATGATGATATCAATGAAATATGTGAAAATTGTTATGGAGCAGGTTTGCACTCTATAAATTATGCAGTAAAAATTGAACAAATATTGTCCATTTTGTCCTCTTTCTGAAAAATAACGCAAAATTTAACTAGTTTGTACGTCATAGAAGCAAACATTGCCAATAACCTGATTCGAAACTATAATATTTTTTGTTACTTTAGATTTTTCATTCAATATATGCAATTCTGTACATCTCAAGAAATTTTTCAAATTTAACTTTTATGGGGGCAAAAATATGCATATACCGCATATAGCTCTTTGTACATTGAAGTAGCTTAATGTGACATAAAATGAATCCTCATTTAGTTCTGGCCATGTTAACTCATTAAGGTTCAAGTAGTGGGCAGACAGAAACATTTCAATAAAATCAATATATGTCTCAATCCTTCAATAATAACTTTAATCTCAAGAACACAAGGCATTATAATTCCTAAATTTATTTTCAGCTGTCTGCAAATTTACACAAGATGAAAATGTTTGAAAATATGATAAAAGTCACAGCTCAGCAAAGTTTGTCCCATTTAATGCTATCTAACTTTCAGCAGATCACAGAAGTTTATTCACTGATCTTAATAGAGGAAGTCATGCAGTATGTGTGGCTTCCTGTTGATAACTGAACATCACACAATCTAACTGCCAGCCACACAGACAAAGTCACTGTGTACAAAAGTACACATTACATGCTTGTACTGTACATCATCCAATTGTCAGTCACACAGACGAAGTCACTGTACTACAGTACACATTATATCCCTGTACTATAGTACACATAACATCCCCGTACTGTACACGATTTAACTGTTAGTCACACTGACAAAACCAGTTCTATAACACACATTACATCCCTGTTGTGTACAAAATCCAACTGTCCGTCACACAGACAAAGTTCACAGTACTACAATACCATATGTATCACATTCCTGGACCCCATTTTACAAAAGAAATTATGACTAAGACATGTATTTTTATGAATAATTTCCTTCTTTACATTAATTTGAAAATGGTAGTAATATTTTCAAAGAGTTTTTTAAGAAATATTTTTATGCAAGCAGAATTTATAATTTTACAGGATTCAATTGAAGTTTTTTGTCTTAGTAGCAAGTTCTGTCGTAAAAAAGGGCCCTGTTCTGACATGCTCTCCATAGTTCCCTTGATCATGTTGATGACCACACTGAAGTATGAATCAATACTTGGACAAGTCTTTATATTAAATTCTGATAAAGTGAATCCATAAATAAGATTTTTAACAGATTTCCGACCATATATACATGAGATGAAAAATTCTAGATCTGCTTATCAAGGTCTTGGTAGTGACATTTTTGGCTTTGCATCTAAAAGCAAACTAGGGGTACTATGAGCAAGCTCACAAAATAATAATTGTTCCAAGAATATGACACTACCTTAGGTAATAAACAATCTTTGCTCCAAGTATGAGCTTCAAATGGTTCTCCATTACAAAGTTATACATATCCCAGAAAAGAATTTTCTACTTTTTCTGACAGTGACCTTGAACTTGCCATCATGACCTTTGGTCAAGGTCAAGACACACCCTGAGGACATAAACAATCTTTATAGAAAGTATGAGCTTCCACTGATTATCCATTACATTACAAAGTTACATACCGGACAAGTTTTTTTTAAATTCATTTTTTGCCCGTGACCTTGCACTTGCCACAATAAGGCCAATTGAACTTAAATAGTAGATTATCATCCAGGGTCACCAAAAGATATGGGGCGGGTGGGAGGATTTTATTTTTTATTCATCATTTTTTTTGTCCGATTTTGACAGTAATTCTCCTTGTCTGAATGTCAGGTTGGGGTGGCCTGTTGTCAATATTTCCGCTCACGAAATCATTGTAAAAATCGATGATTTTTTTTTCTTCACTAGCATTTGTATCATACCAACCCCTTCTTTCGTTCACACCTGTCACAACACGAGAAATAATAAAAACCATTTCTCTTTCTTGACGTGTGGTTCTTGATGTTTCTAAACCGGAAATACTTTTTGAAATATAAATACCGGAATCGAACAAGAAAAATTTCCGGAAAACATAATTCTTGTAAAAATAAAAAAAAAAATTGGGGAGGGCCAATTTCTGAGGGGCGGGCGGGGATGATAATCTATCAATTAAGTTGAATTGGCCTAACCTTGGGTCAGGGTCATGACACACCTTCAGTTCATAAACAATCTTTGTACAAAATATGAGGACTTGTAGTTTTACAGTCCCTTGCAAGAATATTTCAATCAATTGAGCTAGAGATGGACCTCACATTTTAACCGTTTATACTCCATACTCAGGGTCACTAAGCAGTGAGGGATTTATAATTGTGCCAATGCCTGTTTTTAAGGTCTCATTCAAATGATTCTTGGAAATAGAAATCTTGCATTCCAAAAACATTACCTGGCAACATTGTTTATTTGTAAACAAAACATACTACATCTATCATAAAATAAACATGTGCAGATTGTGAACATATTTATTCTTCTAAAGTACTGTTTTAAGTAATGTCATGTATGTATAATACATTAATCAAGTGAACACATACAATCCCTCCTTAAGTCCCACAACATTAAACACTTGAGGCATTCCACTGTGGACTTTTAAGGCCAGTTTTACAAAGATTAGCCAGAAACATGGAAATTCAATATCACAAGTCTGTTATTTAACGTATTATCAAGGACAATAATACATTTAAACTCTGCATTGTAAATTCAACAAAGCTATGACAAGACCACTTAACCTTCTACTGGTCTTTACCCCTTATATAGATCACTAACCTTTTCATACTCATCATCACTCTCTGGGTTGTATGGGGCAGCAAATACTGAAATTAAATCAATATATATATATATATATATATATATATATATATATATATATATATATATATATATATATATATATATATATATATATATATATATAAAGTTTACATACTCACGCCACACTAACACCTTATCTAAAAAAAAAATTCATTATTATAATAATTTTAGCTTCTAAAAAAAAAGAAACTAAAAATGAAAACTAGGTATTGTTTCCTATCTGCCATTTCTACCCCTGTATAGTACACAAATTTTCTTTCATCTTAGGCTTACAGGAAAAATCCTGGTAAGTTTGATCCTCCTCTTTACAAAAATGAAACTACTACTAGTCTGTTGCACATGTTGTAACTGATTGAACAGAGGAGAGAGAGAGAAAAAAAAACCCACAATCTATGTTCTATATGTTGCCTAATAAATGTAAGAAATATCCAGCTCTGTAGAACCTTATAGACTCAGCAACATTTTGTTTAACATTTCTCAGGTCCAGATAAGGGCTAATGCTCTACAGGGAATCTCAAAGGACTTCTTCTGCTCTCTGTAATTTGGTTTAGAGAACCTCATTGATTTTTGCTACACTCAATTCAAGTGGACCCCACCACTGACCAGATTATTTGTCATCTGTGTGACAGTACACTAGCAGAGTTTCCTGCATCACTGACTCTCTACTATAGTCTCTAGCCAACGGCAATGAAACCCAAATTGTGTGAAGAACAAGAGATCCTTCTGTAAGGATTCTCAGAAAATTACAAGAACAAAAGGTTTCAGATGAATTTAGCTCCTGATCACACTAGAAAGGCAGGTAATGTTCAATAATAACAGGGATCAGTGTTTGGAAGGTCATCCCTGCTGATTTTTTTTAATGAAATTTTGCATACAGCAACTAGAATATGCACAAATCATTAGTGATTCTGAAAATCACTTCTGTATGAGCTTTAAGTTATAATGGTACTCCACGTTGCGAAAAGTCCTGCTAGATTCATTCATACCAAAAAAAATATGGCACTCTACGGTTTCCTAAAGCCTTTTGCCAATTATTTTAAAAAGACCTTGTTTTTTGTTGAAATATGATGGAATCTCAAGAGTTCATTGTTTTCTTATCACCCACATTTTACATAAGTTCGACAAAGCATAATATTATATGTTACGTAGATCTTCATTTGCATGCCTAGACAGTTGTAATTGGTGGATATTCTTGCATTTTAACGAGACTAACAATTCCCCTAATCAGCTGATCTTATTGTCAGTAAAAATGTCCTTCAATGATATGTACTCTATCATCAAGCTTGTGGTAATTTACAATGTCCACATCTTGCTATTATCTAAGCACAATGGCATGAAGTTCAGGGTAAGGGGAAAAAGTGCAATGATAGTAAAACCAAAAATTAATGTATCAAGCAACACTCTCTGTCAACGACAAGATGAATAAAAGTTCTGATTAAAGAAAGTGATGGATGTATCATCAATATCAAGTGTAAATACACTGGATTCACATGAGCAACTGATAAACAGATTGGAAGAAATTGTAAAATTTCTATCTCTCCTGAAGTCTTCCCTATTGAACATATATAACAAAACTCCAATCCCTAAAATCATTGGTCTTTGTCCAAAGTTCAACAAAGAGTTCGTAAGAATTATTCCATGATAATAAATTACTTTTTTCTTGGTCTTTGAACATTAAATGAGTGTCAAAGTTGACAACACAGAGTTCACTAGTACGTATGCACTAGACTGTACTTACCAGAACCTCTTCTTGTGCCGCGTGAATTCAGATTAGGAGGAGGTTCTACAAAACAGAAAATTTACATATTAATTTAAATTGTTGTTTCTATGAAACAAAGAATTATATTTACAAAGGAAATGATCTTGAATAAAAGTTCTGTCGAATGGGAAAAACACACACACATATATAACACAGAATAGAAAAAAGGAAAAATGGAATTCTAAAGTTTTTTTTTAAATATTCTTTTCAATGATTTTATGAACAAATTGTAAAAGGCATGAAAATTTTAACTTGTCCAATTGGGCTAATGCTGACCTACATTCTACAAGCTTTCAGGCTATTCCTTTTGGTACAATATGCAGTATTAAAATTAACACTCATATCACTAGTATCCAAATGATGACGAGCACTGGTCGTCAAATTAATATTTCCGTCAGTATAAAACAAAGTCCTTACTATTGTTCAGACTTAAAAGCTAATTAATGCTCTTAAAACTGTTAAACTGAGTACATTCACTCCTGAAGAAAAGACAAACAAGCACTATATCAAATTCAAATGATTCAGAAGATCCTCATAATGAAATGAAAAATCCATACATGTAAAGTCCTAAAACAAAACCAAAATTATCTGAAGTTGTGACAAACAGAAAAGACACTGTATACCTTCCACAAGATTTTTGTTGAGAGTAGAGTTCTTAGGTCTTTGCTCTTGGTGCTTTTGATCCATTTTACTCCAGAGATTCTCATGCAATGCTTGCATTGGTTTTGTACTGTTCATAATAAAATGCAACAGACAAAAACTATCACTTCCAGCAAAAGTGTCTAGAACAAAAGCTGGGTACCAACAGTATCTTCTATCTGAACATGCTAAAATATTGGATAATGATGAAATTGAACAGCGATTATACTGTGGGGCTAAACATCAGTACAAAAACATTTCCCACATCAAGGATAAACTCTCCTTGATCACAGACCCACATCTAACATGTACCACGTTTGTTTTGTCCCATTTACATCTTGTATCAGACTTAGCCTTCAGAAAAGTGAAGAAGTTTGACTCTCTGTATAAAAAGTCATAGGCACCCACACACCATTCGCACAATTAAACAGGTCCAAGTAGCCAAGTTCCATAAAACAAACCAAAATGCCTCACAATTATATCTTGTCTAAAGACATATATATTGACCCACTGAGGGCTTTGTTTGGCATCTTTGATACAAGTTAACATCCTTCTATGAATATGTCATTATGTTAGTTGAGCCCTGGTGATTTGTTTGAAATAGCTGACTATGGGATGGTCTTCTTGTCTGGTTGAGCCAGGCTAATCATGAATGACATAATCTCTAGACAACTTCAAACTTTATTTCCTCCGACTTTGTAATTAATGGGAAATCAATGTAACAAACATGATTCTTAATAATGAAGTTTTAACTGAAATCTTATATAGACAAATACTATAAAGTCTGTTACATGTATATTACAGGCAATATATATATAAATATTCTTAATCAAAATTTAAAATTACTTACGGTACCATACATTTGAAATGCATGTAAACCTACAGAGCACTTTCAAGACTAATAACACAAATGCAACTTTTGTGTTTATTAAAATGTCAACAGCATCATGAGTATGATAATGAAGTTTGAGAATCCTGATTTATAGAAGATTCTGATAATTACCTTATTTTACTCCAGTATTAGAGTACCCATCCCTAAGACATTCACAAAGAAGCATGTTAGGATTATTATTGATAATCTCATGGTTGAATGCTTGACTGTACCTTTACATTAGATATAATACCAATTCTGTATGATGTATCATTGTGAATTTTTTGTATCACTCATACATGTATTAGACACATTCATTTTGTCCTACTTAAAGTAAAATAAGGACAATTATATATAGAAATCATAATCCACGTCAATCTCTTCCCTTGCATTCCTACATGTCAATAAAAGATAAACGCGGTATAACAATGACAACTGCTTGGAAGACTAAATTCTAGAACGAAATTTTAATAAATCAATTGGTGAGAAAAATGTAAATTTTAGCATGAAATGATCATTTTCTGGATTTTACTTGTGCATCATAAATCACTATTATTTACTAAATTTTATGCACATCACATTTGATTTATGACATAGTTTAGTGCATTTGCAAAAAAAAAAAAAATAAATAAATGTTTTTAATTCTTTGTTCTTCATATTTTTTGGGCAGTCTGAATTTTATTGGATTAGAGTGCAAATATTATATTTGTCCAAATTATGCAAATGTTAGTTGAAATCATCCATGATGAGGATTTACATTAAAATTCTTACAGGTGTATTAAATTTAAATAACCAAGATATTTTGAAAGACTGAAGTATGGTAAAATCTCATTATCTTGAACTCGATGTGACCATGAAAAAACTGAGATAAGAGTTCAATATATTGAGGTTGAAATGTACATCAGAAAATTTAGTTTGGACTTCAATCTCACTTAAAGATATCCATGGTATTTGATATATATATCGACATTGCAGATATCTTAATTCAACTCCATGTACAGTGTATATATATATATATATATATATATATATATATATATATATATATATATAGATCTCAAAATGCTACTTTAAGTAATAACTCCCATCCTCTCCCCCATTTCTCAAAAAGCACCAGCAGCACTAACTATAGATTTAATTCATAAAAACACTTCACTTGCCTTCTTATACACTTTAAATTTTTAACTCTCACTGCCATATTATACATTATATTATATACATATGTTACTGCTTTTAACCCACAGTCTTTAAATTAACACTTTCATGCATTTATAACAATATTATTTTACAGTATTACTAAATCACTTAAACACAGTTGATTTAATAAAAAATTTTAACCCTGGCTGCATATACTTATATTCTTGATTATCATATCACGAGGAGGGCCAAGTTTTCATCTTTGAAAAATAAGCCTGTTCAGATACTATTCTTTCTCTGAGAGATATATATATCTCTTACCATCTAAGACTAATAGTTATACACAGGCTTTCTTCTAGAGACTCGTATTGTATCAAGTTAGTGCTACAATACATGTGTTTATCCATACTTCTAAAAACACATTAAATTCCCTTAGGAATGTTCAGACTAAATTTAATCAAGCTAATGATAAGTCTAATTAGTTAAAACTAACAGACTACCTAGTGTTTATCATGTTTAATGAATTATAGGAAATTTAAAAACTGGCTCACTATAGGAACATGATGAAAGTGCACGACTTTAATAGAATAACATTTAACTGCAGTGGACATTGACCCAAGCAATGTCATGAACAAATGATACTTCTAATTAAAAGTTCATTATTTACATTCCTTACCAGGCTTGTTGGAACATAATATCATATAACACATTTTTATCCTGGATCTGTCTTGTTTGATATTCATTTTTAAATTTCACTTAATATATGTATGAATTATATTTTAAAATGTTAATTTCATTGTCATTAACCATGGAACGCAATTTCATTCCATGGGTCAATGAAGAAGAATCATGAAATAACTTTGTAAAATTAAGGCATATGACATGTACAAATGTAATAACTTATTAATAATAATATTAAATAGAATCTATGTTGCATTTCAGCAGATGGTTACATGCATTTATTTTATTACATGTATGTTACACTTAACATATGCTTAATGCACAAAGATGATTTCAAGAATGCTTTTATATCAATGTATCCTTGACTTTCTACTAAGTAGAATGAATGACACTGAAATGATGAAAGGGGAAAATTTACTACAACATGTACAACCATTTCATATTTACCCACTCTCATGCAAATTATGGCCATTTGTTTAATGAAGAAAAATTCCAGTAAATTATATATATCCAAAGAAGTGCAATCATCATTCATGCGTATTATACAGTTATGGAATGAGTACGAGGGAAATAGCAAATTTATGGTTCCCCAAGGGAGGAAACTATTTCCCAAGGCGGCAAAGCCGCCGAGGGAAATAGTTTCCTGCCGAGGAGAACCATAAATTTGCTATTTCCCGAGTTCTCATTCCATAACTGTTTTATTATACCGAAACAATCATAGACGATTTAATTTTTTCACCAGACATTCCGACATTTAAAAAAAAAAACAATGTAGAGGCAAAATCACAAATACGTGCGGTTTAACACATTGCTATAAGTAATGCATCGTGTCCTAAAACAATTAAATTATTTTTAAAAAGTATTTTCACTGATATTTCGAAGAATTATCGTTGCATTCATTTCGCTAGAATCCAAGTATGATTTTGACATCGCATGTCGAAATGTTTTGACGTCATAGTTACATTGCTAATAACATGACGTCACAGACTCGAGATTTCTTAAACGCTCCGCCCACTGAACACTTTGATTGGTTAAAATTACTAATAAATATTCATGAGGGAGTAGTCCCAGGGAGTAGCTCTGATTTTCCAGGGAGTAGTCCTCAGATGAGGGAAATAGTCTCTTTTCGTGGAAATAGACAGTTTTATGGTATTAATTTTATATAGAGTAATTACAGTAGAGGTATAATAAATATCAATATAAAATCAAATTTTACAAGCCTACATTGCTGTCAAAGTGTACATCTTAATTATTATACATAAAGATTATTAAATATCCACTTGTTATGTCAAAATTATCATCAGAAGATATTGACTGGAGATTAAAAATATTTTTACTTGATTTCAATGATTTGACTAGCTTTCTGAAACAATTAATGTTTGATCACAAAAAGATTAGAAAATGTATTTTGTATCTCCATTTAAAAAAAAAATTCTGGTCAACAGTGTGATAAAAGACCAGTTAACTGCCTATTGATTAATGGCTTTTTCTTCCAAGTTTCATTACTACCATTATCTTCCCTGAAAGTTTGCCTATATACCTCAGAAGCTATCAGCAGTTGATTTAAAATCATCGTCAATCAAAATGTGATTTATATGTGTTAAGTCTGAGAGTGGGATAAAGTATGCTCTTTATCAATATTTAGCAGTTGTTAATGACAAATTTATTACACTGTTTTATGACTCCAATATCACAAAATGCTATCCACTCCGGATTCTCCATACAAGTTTTAGCTTAAATAATGTTGAAACAGCATAGCAACTATCACTTAAATTATAGGGACTTTCTCAAGATACGTTCATACCTGGTTCTTCATCGTCACTGTCGGTTTGCATCGGTTCCTCGGGAGGTGGACTAGCTGCGAATCGTACGCCCCCCGCACGCACATTTTTAACTGAACTGTCATTGTTTTTATTTTCATTTAACTTCACAAAGTAATCAGCTGCAAACTGAGTTAAATCACTTGGTCGTTCTTTCAGCACCGCAACTGTAAAATCCTGCAGAAGGTCTGTTAAACCGGTAGGAATCTCAAAACTCATGATTAAATAACACAGTTTTTACGATAGAAGTACAACACTAGGTATAAATTAGTCACATTAATCCAAAAAGTGAAAGCGAGAGAAATAATAGCTAAATTATCTACAAAAAGTTTTCCTCTTTCCCGTTTACCTATCCATAGCGAAAGTCTCCAAACTGCAAAGGTTACTACTCTATTGACGTCATTACCGGTTTTTCTCGCATTCTAAAGGGGTCGCATTTAAAGTTAATTCAAAACTTTTATTTCCAATTCATGCACTGAAGTACTTGAACATACAAAATCAAATGATGCACATCTATACAATTTCGCGACAGACGACACATTCACAGAGCAAAATTCAGGACTACTTTTTATCTTCAGAGCGCATGAATATTTATATTTTGAAGAGGCAAGGCTGTCGTACGTATGTAAATTCGATGCGTTTGTCCTACTTCTATGGCGATCGCGACTTTAACTAAAGTACAAATGAATTTGATATATTAATATGAATCATAGTTGTAAAAAATTCTCTTAATTTGTTATATTTATTTGTTAAGGAGGAAAAGCACAATTTGAAAGTTATCTTGAATTAGGATACAATAAAGCACATCTTGATATTTAAATTGAGTTTGAACTTATTCTGCATTACATCTAGAGTCCTCTGCGTATAAATGTCAAGGTTTTTCGAGTATGACAGGTGTAGATAGGGTTTACGGACATGTTTTCTAACCTTTTACTCGTTAACATTTCCATGGTGAATTAATTCATCATATATGGAATACTTAATCAAATGTTAAATACACACCGTGACAAATTGTCGTTTTGATGTTGTGCCTTGAATTTCGAAAAGGAATTTGCCTTGCACAATCCGAAATAAAATTTTGTTTAAAATCTTTCAAGAATATGCACCCCCAGCAAGGAACAATACTAGTACTTGAAAGATCTTTATTGGTAAATTTTCAACTTGGAAATTAATATGCATGTATATAACGTTGTATATAACGCTTTGTTAGAAAACGTATATAAATTATGGGATTCAGTGTTTTCTTCCATTGTTTGTTGTTAATAACATAAAGGACGAGGAAAAGTGTAATACTTGGAGAATTTAGTCATCCTTTTTTTTTTTTTTTTTTTTAAATTGTTTTAATACTGAATTTAATTAATTTACGATGTCACTGATACATTATCCATGTTTGTTGAAAGGTGCAAAAGTATATTTAAAGTGCGAGGAAAGCAATGAAAATTAGATGTTCGTTGGAAAATTATTATTCATGTATACTCGAACACACAAAGGTTCACTATCATTTTGGGGGGTGGGGTGGGAGGTGTAAAAACATTTATGGTGCTAATTTTTCCCCCATAAACATGCAATTTTTTCTTTCGTTTTTGTTGGGGACAGGCTTCAACTGCCAATGAGTTGTTAAGAAAATACCAGTCTGATTCAAATCAAACCTTCACTAGCTCATTTTTATTGTCACACGCGAAATTCAAAATGAAAAGTAGCTAGTGAGGGTTTGATTTGAATCAGACTGAGAAAACATATAAGACCGCGGAACATTAACTGGCAAAATTGGAAATATGCAGCTTACGTCATTTCCATCTGTTACAATCAAAACATTTCATTCGGCAAACCTCGGCTGATTCCGTCACCGAGGTGTGCCGAGTACAAAACAATGGAATGAGCGGGTACAATTCGACGCCGATGTCTGAGAAAACACTGGATTGAAATTCTGGTTTGAAAATCATTTTCAATCCACCTCAGCTACGCTAGAAGACAATGAGTTACTGATTGACCCAGAAGACAAATAATTTCAATTTCGGAACATTTTGAAGTTTAAATATATAAATCAGAATTTCTTACCAGTGTTTTTAAAGAAATATAAAGGGACAAATATTTGATTCCTGTTAGGTATGTGCATGCATTTTTTTTTGGGGGGGGGGGGGGTTGAGGGGGCTGAACGATCTTGGAAATAAAAAAGATTTTTTTTTTTAAGTTTGGACAACACCTCCCTGTTTTTGAGTGTCAAAAATTTTTCAGTGAAGACAAAACTTAAAAAAAAAAACCTCTTGTCATCCTAGTAATAAATATATTTTGTCATGTGAAGGCATGATCTGACTCGACAATTTTTTAACACCCCCCTTTCTAGAATCAAATAGCCATCCCCTGAAAAAAAATCTCTGTCTTCTTGACTTTTACGTCTCCTTAAAATTATAGGCTAAAATCTTATATAAACAATGATAAATATGAATTTCAAACAACATGTGTTTGGGAATTGAAATTATTTGTCTTCTGGATCATATATTCACACTCTGCGTTTGAAAACAGCTCGGGTGGATTGCAAATGAATTTCAAACTAGAATTTCAATCCAATGTTTTCTCGGACGTCCGTGCCGAATTGTGCCGGCCCATTTCATTGTTTTGACTGTAACAGATGGAAAAGACGTAAGCTGTATATTTCCAGTTTTGCCAGTTAATGTTCCGCGGTCTTACAATGACATAAAAATATATACATATTGTTAATGAAACATTGATCAATAGAATGCAATTGACGCTGTCTCGTACGTGTCTTATGATTTTGCAAATTGTCATCATAAGCTAAATATGTTTGTGATTGGATATGATTTTTAACCAACTCTTTTTGTGTTTTCTATCCTCGAGACTATATAATTTCCATCTCACAACTGCCCCCCCCCCCCCCATGAATCACCCAGAATATATGTGAATAAATAAAGAATAATTCTTTTTTGACATATCGATGACAGTTTCGGCTGTTGAAATGCTTCACTAGAATAACCGTATCTTCTCTGTATAAAACGCGTAAAACATAGGTGTGGCTTATAATAAATTGCAGCATTACTTATCATTAATAAACTGTTTTAAATATACATAAAAAAAGATATGTACCTGGGAATTAAATCTTTGGTAAAGCAAAATTGCATGACTAGCTCAGACTTTTTCGAATTAATGTTGGAGTAAGACAAGGAGAAAACCTATCACCTTTTTTATTCTCATTATATATATAAACTAAACAAGTTGCTGTCCTTAAAAAAAAAATAAAAATTCCAAACATTGTTTTTTATCATTCAACACCAAAAGCAATAGATGCATGAAATGAAAAAAAAAAAAGAAAAAAAATAGAAGCGTGAAGCGAGGTATGGAATAGGGTCACGTAGTTCACTATATCGCATTATCGCACTTTCGAGGTTTGGGTCGATAAGCCTTATCCGGATTCCATAACATGGCCCTATCCATTCCGTACATAATAAATTCCTATTAGAAATTAAACATAATAAAGCTATGCATTTTGAGTCATAATATCAAATTGTTTTCAATGCATTCGAAAAGTGTGTCCAAGATCAAGAATAATCTTTCTTAAATTATTCTTTTTGTGAATATAATATTTGATAGTAATAAAAAAATTAATTAATAAAAAGTATGTGATAATTATAAAAATATTATAGATGGTACGTAGTAAATTATGCTAGTTTTTTAAGTTTTATATCAAACGATAGAAATATTCTAATTTGTAACAGGTAAAAAAAAAATTTGGATGTAAATGTTTTAGTTCAAAAAGTATGAATAACTATCAAAAATATTATTTCAATGAAATACAATTGCATGATTGCGTTATTTTTTTTTTCCTTTCAATATGTGTGATCATGACAAATTCAGTAAATACATGTCTAAATTATTATCATCTGATCAAATGAATTGTCGGAGACTTTGGGAATTATATATTTCCAAAGTTATCTCTCTTTTAAGAGGGTCATTAGACATTAAAGCATAATTGTCAAATCAATTTTTAACTCTATCTATATAAAAGTATCTGACCCCCCCCCCCCCCCGCCTTACAAAATGCTTGTACCATAGCCACAGGACTTCTTCTTAACTGGTAAATATTATTTTTACCAAATGCATGTATATACGAGGGTTGTTAGAAAAGTTCGCGGACACATTGATTTACGGAAAATTTATTGTGTTCTTTGAAGAATGACGTATGTCTGATGAAATTCTTATGTTTTGTTTATTAGTATGTAAAAAATCGGGTCCTTTTTCTGAAATTTTGAAAATATACAATGATATTCATTGTGCGGGCTTAGGATTCACGGAGCAATCACTTGACGTTTTTTGACGTTAGGTGACGTGACAAACTGATTCCATCTTTTTCACAGTTCTAAACATCTCTTTCAGTTCTAGACTCTTCATGTCTTTTTCCTACTTAAAAATTAGATAACTATCGAAAGACATGTTACTTTTTTTTTTTTCTAAGATATGTCTTTTGTGGCGTATCGGATATTAGTGAAATCTGAAAAATCAATGTATCTGCGCAGTTGATCGATCAGGAATGGAAACAATGCAACATCCATAGGCGCAATCCATGCCATGAGCAGGATATTGGGGTATCACAGGAGTTGATTATCAAAAATGTCAATCTTTCCATTCTAGCTAGGCTACTACCATTCGAACATTCGAACATATGTATGGGTAATCCCTAGCAGCATCTGAAACATTTTAGTCTCTTTCGGGCATGCAATTTTCTGTCTGCAGACTTTTTTTAGCTAGCTCGGTGCTCCAAGACGTTAAATGACGTTGCCATTCTTGACTTTGTTTTTACTCATTAATCATCTATAATTAGCGATAAAACAGTCGTAACCCCTCCAATTTAATTTAAAAAAAATTGCCAAATGACGTTTCATGAATATTGTAGCGACAGGTGAAATATCATAATCTGTATGAGCTATAACAGTGCAATTTTTGATTTCGAAAAAAAAATGTCTATGAAATATATGGAGATAACGAACAGTATCCAAGCTCAAAAGTCCATTCAACAATGCAAATTTTGGAGAAGAGCAAACGCGGACCTCTAAAACATCATAGGTGGGATCAGGTGCCAAGGAGGAGTGAGCATCCTTTGCCGACCGGTCACAACCGCCATGTGCTCCTTGTCATGATCGGGAAAAACGGAAAAATCCTTAGACAGTTCAGTGTACAAATAATGGCCTAACAAATAGTATGAAAAACGTCAGTCAGCATTTGACTCATCCATTTTAAAATGAAAAAAAACAAACAACATATACAACAAAGAAATTACACTAGTTAATGTTGGAATGGATTTCCTGATAATGATGAGAGGATACCAAAATGTACAGTGAAATATGAAGATAACGAACAGTATTCAATCTCAAAAGTATTCAATCTATGTTATGTAAACTTGCAAAAAAAGTTACATACTCCGTGAAACATGTTTTATCTTAATGATTTTTAAAAATCACCGGAAAACGTCAAATCTTTGCATATTTATTGGAAAATACATATAGTTTTTATCTGC